CATACTTTTTGGGGAACTAGGGTGAAAAGCGAACTTTTTAGGAAAAAAGGGAACTGCGCCATAAAAAGAGAACTACAAAAAGGCAAAAAGGTAAAAAGGTAACTTTTTACGCGTGCGGGTTGTCGGCGTTTTGCGTGACTGCGCAGGGTGGACTATCAAAAGTGCGCACATCTAGGAAAAGATGGCGTGGGCGCGCGACGCCCGCGGCCACTTCGGCAGCGCGATCGCGCCATTGCGCGCGGAACGACACCGCCTGCGCGCAGTCTCTTGTTTCGACGCGTGGCCGCGCAATGCGCGCCCGACGCGCGACGCGCATGCGTGGGGCGGTGGGCGACGAGAGAGGGTCGGCGGAGGCGCCGCAGATTTGGCCGTTCACTGGTAACTCTCGCGCGGCAGCTCCTGCTGTTTAACGGGCCAGGGCCGATCGGCGCGACGCGAGAAATCGGGGGGAGGGGGAGGAGCGACGAGGAATATGCCGAGGGAGGCGGTTCGCACTGTAGGGCGACATTCCCCCGCGCGGCGACGGGCTCTGATCGGGCGGAACGGCGGCGCGCTAGCATGTGCGGCGCGCCTGCGAGCGCCCGCAAAGTTCCCGAAACTTCCCGCAAACGTCCCGAACACTTCCCGCGAAGTTCCCGAACCTTCCCGCAAACTTCCCGCAAACTTCCTGTAACATCCCGTGGATTTCCCGCACATTTCCCGCGTTGTTCCCTCGAGCGCGCCGTGATCTCCCGTTGGTTGGTTTGTAATGTTATTGTTGTGTTATGCTGTTCTGGCGTTGTGCCACAGCCGATGCGTGGCAGTATGGTGAGGCGGCGCGCGCGACGCCGCGATGTTGCGCAGCGTGCTTAGCCGTGAATGTTGCGACATTGTGCAGCGCGTCTGGCGGGTGGCAAATGTTGCAAGATAGTGAAGCACGTTTTTATTTTGGGTCAGTATCACGCGGATACGTCGCACAACTTGCTTGCCTTCGCATGATATATATTTATATATATATGCTTGCATATATACACATAAATATATACATATATCTTTATATGATGGTCAACGTCGTGCGTGGAATGAGCACCGTGGTGTATGAGCGCGGAACCTCATACCATAACGGCGTACAGCGCTGCATCTTAACATTTCGCGGCATAGCGCTGCGGATTGTTTTTTGGGGGGGCGGATCAGAAATTGCGTAGCAGTGGGCGCGGGTGGAGTCTAGCACAGCAGGGCATAGCATGGCATACCATCGCGATTAGTGTACCTCCATATTATCCGTCTTTCTCGCGTTGTGTATCTCTCGTTATCGCACACACACTCTCTCTCACTCTCTTTCTATTTGTTAATTTCCTTCCATTGCCATCCGTTTCCCCCTCTGTACTCTCGACCCTTTTGAGATACGTGTATCTTCATGTCGTTCGATCGCTCGGTGGCTTTTTCTCCAGCTGCAGGCGCCTCCACCGTGCCTGGTCTTCGTTTGGCAGAGCCATGGGGTCGGCCTCCCGAGGGGGCGGATGGGTCGGACACGCTCGCGCCTGCACTCTCAGAATGCAGGGCCTGAGTTTCGAGCGTGCCCGAGAATCACGCCCCCCCCCCCTCGGAACCCTCGCCCATCGCCCTACCGCCTCGTGCGCGCAAGACCGATGCGTACATCTATCGCCGCCTGGCCCTAGGTGAACGGCCAGTGTTGCAACCAGGCCGTCTTGGGAGATGTGTTTTCATGAGTGTGCGTGCCCCCCCCTCCTAACCCTCCCTCCCTCCCCGTCCCCACCTCCACCATGGTCTACAACGCCACTTCCAATGCATTCCCTCCCCCCTCCCCCGTCATCTTCACCCCATTCCCACATCCTCCCTTCATCCTCCCATTCACCCCCCATATCCTCGGTCAGTGGCGATCGCTGCATATTTTCGTACACCTCCCTGTGGAATAACGTAATCCCGTCCACCATTACATATGAAACCCCTGCCTCAATGGAATGGTCAATGTGGTACTCGTATTCTTGGTTCTGACCCGAGGGGCATCGCAAACGGGCCAGGCCACGGATGCTCGAGTAGCTAGATTTATGTGTGGATGTTGTTTGTTTGGTTGTGTTGTTGGTGTTGTTGTTGTTGTTGTTGTTGGTGTTGTTGTTGCTGGTGTTGTTGGTATATATCGCTCTCTCTCTCTCTCTCTCTGTGGTTGTGCATGCCTGTATGCGTATCTCGCTCTCTATATATATATATATATATCTCGAGCTCTAGTTCCCCATTTTCATATTCATATGCATCAGCTTGCCCCCTCCGTCTCTCATCGGTGCCTCTCCTACTAGGGCCCAGCTCGTACATCGGCCGACATTGGAACTCGTCACCACGTGGCCCATGGCCCTGCCACATGCAGCGCCTGACAGGGCCATGGGCCACGTGGCAGAATAACCTGAGCGTCGTCTCTGGACGGGGCTCGAACGGCGGCCTCGATTGGCCCACGTTGCCGTAACCCCTCGACCCCGCACGGCCACAGAGACGGGACCCATGGGGGAGCAGGGTGCGGAATGACGCGGTCGGCGTGGGGGACATAGAAGGGTTGGGGAGTGGCGTGCGGCGAAGAGAGCCTTGGGTCAACTTGCCGCAAGTCGCAACAGTCCGTGTCGCACCAACCAGCGTCGAGCCAGTTTGCTCAACTGGTGCATGTGCGGCCAAACGCCGCTTCAACAAAGGGCACGTGTGAAACTAATGCGGCCTAGCGCCGCTCCAGTGGAAGAGGGTGGGAAGGATGAGGTTGATGACGGGGAAGATGAGGAGACGCAGGGGAAGGTTGATGAGAGACGGCCTACGGATTCATGGTGTTGGGACGTGTGTGTAGATGTGGTCGTATAGTCGGGTGCCATGGTTTCAGGGCGGGATACAGGCGCATGCCCAGACACATGCATATGCAATGCAATGCAGTGTTGGTCGGATGTCGTGTACACACATATCGTATATTATCACATGTGTTTTGTGTACACAAGCCCGCATGCATGTTTGCACACCTAGTGCACCAGCCACCACGCACAATAGGAGTTACGACAGTACGGCGTGTCATGGTACCCATGTCTCATTACTACATACATTTGGAATACAAGCCCGCTGTCTCGGCACGCGTGTTCGCTAACACGTCCACTCATGCGCGAAGCGCAGTCCACATTCACACTGCTGCAAACGGGTGCCCCTTGCAAACAAGCGGAAGCAATCGAATTCTATCGAATATCGACCTTTCCCAGGTCGATCGGTGAGACGAGGCTGCCACGCCTGCCAGAATCAGATTCAACGATTCGTCATGGAATGTAGAATAATATTTTGGATTGCCGCACAATGGTATGCGGAGTGTCATGTGCACAAACAAATGACATTTTGGTATGTCGCCAACACCAGCGTCCTGCATGAGTGTGAGATGACGCACGCACAGGTCAAGCAAACGCTGGCATACATTGTGTGAGACGGTTTGGGGTGATGCCCGTAAAATGTTCATATATTCCAAAAGCGCTCTACCTGCTGCCCACAAAATCGGGCCCGTGTCGAACTTGTGCTTTTCTGTTTCGCAAAACCGAACCGCCCATTTCAGCAGCACGCCAGTTTCAGCAGCTTTCGTCTTCAATAAGATTGAATCGGGCCCCCCAATCATTCCAACAGTAAGGGTGCTCAATTGAGCGTTCAATGGGATCTCGCCATGTTGGCTGCACCATGTTTTGTAATTATTGAACATTAACTTCAACGCTTCTTCTTTTAACCCATCGCTACCGCAACCCAGGCCCCAGATGTTGGCGTTGATAGCGCCCCACAACGTTGCGTGAACAAATCGTGAGCACACCCCTAAGTATACAGTGTGCAAGGTGTCGATGTGCAACGTTACTTCTGGACTAGTTCCAATGTCACGCGAAAACAATGGATTTCGATGATGCGTTCTATCCCCAAGACGCCCCCTGTTGTCTTTGTTTTTTTCTCCAGAAAATACATACAAATGGGGTTGGAATCTCCTCGAACGCACCCGTGTCTGGAACGTCGTCGGACGGTTCCAACCTGTCAAATCGTTTCAGTCCCAGCGCTGGCACATCGCACGCCAAATGCCGACCTTGCACCGAACGATTCCCGTCGAACTGCAAACCACCAATGTCCAGCAGAAGACCCCGCACGCGATCATCTGTCACGTTGATCGTTATCTCGCAGCGCTCACACGCGCCATCATAACTGATCTGAGGCTCGCCCCACGCATTATCATACAAACATACACCGTCGTATTCGTAGAGGCTGTCTTTGGTTGCTGCACACCAGATGCAAGGGTGATGGTGAGACGACCACGTTGGCATCCCCAGGGTCTGCGTGAACTCAGCCCAATCGCCTTTGATCTGGCATAGCAAAAATCTAGCTGTCATGCGTGGGCAAGCGTCAAACAACTCTTTGCTCTTACACTCGTTCGGCCATGGCGCCTTATCCCAGCGGAGCATCGGGCGTAGACCGACAACTGCGGCAGCCAATGACCAGTGAATGTATGCGAAAATGGGCCGATATGTACACCAGCCCCTGCACCCGCAATGGCACACCTGCTGCTTGGAGACAACGGCCACAAGGTGTCTCTTAAGCGTCCGTAGGTTGAACACTGTTATCCCAAGCACCGTATCACTTCTCCCAGGGCCGATCGCACGAGTGTACTTCACGCCATCGAGGTACAATGCGATCGGAAACGTTCGCCGACCATCGCCATCGATGACACGGAACGGGTGGTTCCGATATACTCCCGACCATTCTTCTGGCGGTGGAAACGGTATCCCCGCTGGTGTCTCGTCGATCTTCACCACTTCGGCATTCAACACCTCGTGCGGTGGCGAAACCACAATTTGTTTAATTTCCCTCCGACCGCGCCGATAAACTGGCACTGACAGATGGTGGTACTCAGGTGCTGCTTCAGATTCAGGGAGAACCGACCGAAGGTGCTGAGCAAACTTTCCTGTCTGAGCGGTTGGCGGGTGGGCGTATTGCGAAATGTTCCCTCCTGTCACACCTGC